GCTGCCAGAGCCAGACCATGCTGCACACCCTCCTGGGGCTGTAGTGTAAGTAAAGAGAGCTCCCACATCTGCTCGTCTCTTAGTGGAGTACTGTGGAACAGAATGACTCATCTCTGCTGGTTTCTGTCTCAGCTCCTCGTGCTGACAGGGAACAGGAGGCACAGGGAGTGTAAAGGCTCCTACGGTGGCCAAATCTGGCCCAGGTGAAAGCCAAAGCAATGCCAGCACCAGTGCTTCCAGGGGACCTGCTGCCTGTACAGCCTTCTGCTAACCCAGAGCTGTGTCTGCAGGGAAGCAGAGCTGAACACAGCCACCACCTCCCTTGTGCTGCCTGAAACAACAGCTCTCTCAGGACGGGCTTCAGCCTGGGGGGAAGAACTCAGGGGTTTTACATTCTGCATTTTGTTCTGCTGCTGATTTTTAGTTGAGCGCCCTGCCCCGGGCCGTGTCAGAGGGGAGGAGCAGGGGGCAGGGCAGGGGCTGCCCCTCTGGGGAGCAGTCCTGGTGGGACCCACGGCGCCCGAGCCAAGAAGAGATCTGGAGGCAGTTGTACAACAGAGCTTTATAGTCAGAATGGATTGTACCAGGTTTTTCTGTTTCGATGCAAAATGGAACATGACCCAAAATCTTCACAGAAAGCAAGCGCTTCCAGGGACGCCGGCGGGGGGGCTCCAAGCCCTGCCTGCCCCTTCCACTCACAGCTCTGGCTGCCTTCTCCTCCCCAGCTGTGCCAGCTCTGAGCTGGCCCCTGCAGCTGTCCCACGGCGTCAGGGGAAGTGCAGCAATGCTCAGAGGAGGCAAATGCTGGCGGCGAAGGGACCTGAACAACGTGCTGCTCACACAGCACACCCCCCCGGGCTGGTTTCTAGGGTTACAAGTGCATGTTGGGGGCTGAGGGAAAGAAAACCCAAAACTGGGCAGGTAACTGCCTGATGGTCAAGCCAACCCTGGAAAAGGTGACGATCAAAAGAACACCTTGTTTTATAGGGATTCAGAAGGAAACCCCACTTGGGCTTCCAGGGTTGACGTATTACAACAAAAAGGGGAGGGGGAGAACAAACACAAACCTCAAATCAACCTGCAAGCAACAGGGTAACGTAATGCATAGAACCTGGAGGGAGCTTTGCTGTCCGTGCTGTGAAAGGGCCACCAGAACCAAACCAGAAGGGGTTACAGAGAACTCACAAGGTCCATCAAAGAGAGGGGCTGCTCAGCAAGACCCAGGGCTGGCCTGTAGCACCCATCCAACGACAACTGATGCTGCCGAGCAGGTACCAATCCACGGGCTGGAGTTCAAAGCAAAAACCAAAAAGCTTCCCAGGCTGGAGGGGCAGGAGGAGGCTCTCCCCTCAGGCAGGGACAGGCAGCACACCAGCTGCAGGGGGGGTGCTGCAGGATGGAGAGGAGCTGGCCCAGGAAGGACGCTGTCTGAGCTACAGGGGTTGTCCCTCTTAGCACAGAGAGGCAGCCGGGGTTTTACAGCGTGACTGTAAAATGCCTGAGAAGCAAATGCCTTGCCATGCTAACACTCCCCTGGAGACAGCTCTGAATCTCTGGGTATCTTCATTTCCACGGGAGAGTCACGTCCCTGAGAGGTACGGAAGGGAGGGGGTTCTAGTATATGCAAATTCAAGGGTGGGAAATGCAGAAAAGCATGGATTTTTCTCTCTCTTTTTCAGCTTTGCACTTTGCATTGTTTTCCCAAACTGCATAGCAGCTTACATGTAGTGTCTGAGACACTGGGGCCACGGAAATCAATGGGGCTTCATGAATTCCAACAGCAGCACCAGTGAGTGCTAATTAAGCTGCTGTGCAGAAAGGTCCCGTCCAAAGGACTCCAAAATCACACACACTCTCTCTCACTTTGGCCCTGTGGCTGCTGTTTTAGAGAGCTGCACCATAGCATGATCTGCTCGCTTTAAAGCTCATCAACTGCTGGGTGGAGCAATGGCCAAGACCACCTTTCTCATTAAAAAAATAGGAAGGATAAAAAGTTAAAGACTCGAGACAGGCGAGCACGATGCGTTCATGCGGCATGTTTTGTTGCACTCCTCTTGACAAGACAGGAATTTCAGGGGTGCAGGAGTGGAATATTGCAGGGGTGGAGCAGGGGCAGGTCCCCTTCACCTCCCACACCCTGCCAGCTGCCCCACTGGGCATCTCTGGAAGGAGAAAAAACGACAGCCTGGAAGCAGGCCTGCGAACCGTGCCCTGAAGCTTCCCCTTACTCAAGCACATCTCAGCTGGGTTTTCCTGGGGTAACAAACACACCAGAACAGCACAGGATGTAAAGCTTTTGTTTTGCCAGCTCTGTTTGGAGAGAGCGTTCGGCAAAGGGCCAAAGCTTTACATGCCTGCACCTGTCCTGGTGTGACTGCTCAGAAAAGATGGAGGCAGCCAAGCCGAGGAGTCTGCAGCGTGTGCAGGCCACCAGCTACAGCTCCTCATAGTCCCCACCTCCTCCTGGCTTGCTCACACTGGCTCCTCCTCCTCCAAGAAAAGCCTCAAGTTCATCTATCTCACTGTTTTTCTCCTTGCTCTTCTTCTTCTTTTTCTTTTTCTCTTTCTCCTCTTTGCTTTCCTCCTTCTCTTTGCTCTTCTTGTGTTTGCTCTTCTTCTTCACAGACTTCTCCTCCTCCTGAAAAATGAGAGATTTTTGATTAGTGAATCCTCCGAGCGTGCCAGTAACCCAGCATATATCACCTGAAACTTGGCTCTGACAGGAACCTTACTTAGGGTGAAGAATCTACTACCAAGGCTGCCTTGGAGTTAATTCCAGAAGACCCTTCTGCGAGTTTGGACAGAGGAGAGGACAGGCCATCTGGTTTATAGGTAGCAGTGGTCTGTCAGGCAGCGTGTGCCTGACAATACCACAGTATTGGACAGGCAGAAATGTCAAAGACGAAGCCTCCTGCAGCCTTCTCTCACTGCCTCCAAGATTAGATCTGTCAGGGACATCCCTCTGCTTGGAAAATCTCACGGTGCTACCAACAGACTTGAGCCCAGCAGAGATGCACTGCTCCCAAACTCACAGACTGCCTTCTCAAAATTCAGCCACTCCAAAAGCTTGCTCCTGTGCTCAGTGGCCTGCAGAGCCTGGCTGGCACAGATGTGGCTGCAGGATGTGAGAATGGAAGGAGGTCCACCAGGTACACAGAGAAGGCCACCCCTCTCCTTTGCTGGTAGATCATGTGGCAGCCCAGCTCTGAGGAATTAAATAATACCTCTTTGCTTTTCTTTTTCTTCTTCTTTTTCTCCTTAGAAGGTTGTTTATCTGTTCAAACAAACAAACAAACAAAACACATTGGTTTTAATCAATTTAAACTGCAAGAGCTGCAATTCTGCCCTGTGCTGATTCCTGAGAACAAAATGCTCCCTCCTGGAGCCACGTGCAGAGGTAATCCCAACACCTCAGGATGACAAGGCCCCTTTAGAAACCAACAGAGGCCCCAGCAGTCACACTGAAACATAACCATGCACATCTAGTTTAATTATGAGCATTACACTATCTATTATTCTGTGTTAGGAGCACTGACCTGGGCATTCACTGTCTCACAGCTACTAAGAAACAAATATAGAGACTAAGGGCCAAACTGGGAACCAGATAAATATCTCCAGAACTGAAGAGGAGCTCTGGGGGAACAATTTCCCTCTGACCACTAAATATCTGAAGGCAGATGGAAATCCTGCCAGGCAAGGTTTGTGCTTCTCTGAGTTGAGCTGGTCCTGGAAGGACCCCTCAGGACACGGTGCCAGCAGATGGAACACCCTGACAGGCCAGCACTCACTGTTGTTCAAACTGAGCATGGAAATTACATCTCCAGGAGGCCAAAGCATCACTGCTGAGGCTCTGCTCCACAGGGGTGGCTCCTGCCAAGGTATCACATGAAACCCAGAGCCCATCCCTGTCAAAATATTTGTCCCAGGTTATTGTGGCTGATGGCTTGGCTGCTAATTTGAATGCTGAACCTCCACTGCCTTTGCAAAAATCTCTTTGAACAGGAGAGCACTTGGCTGTTTCACAGGAGGCTTTAACTGCACCGTGTTTCACTTGTGGTGTCTGACTGTCAATCCTACCTACACACTCTTGCTCCTCAGTTGATCTGTAAGTCTAATTGATGGTCAAGCTCTGACTGACTCACAAGATACATTTTTATATTTATCCCAGAAAGAGGAGATAGGAGGAACCTAGGTTGAATTATTAAAGCTGCTAAAGGCAAGTTAAATTATTGACCTGGGCCTCTGCAGATGCACTTCAAGCTATTTCAAGCTGTGCTGTTCAGCCACTCAAAGCGACGAGCCGATGAAGCCATCGCAGCCTCTGACACCCTGCTTACACTTCAGGAACAGCTACTCAGGAAGATCCCTCTCTGTGCTGCTTACAGCTTTTTCCAACCTTAAGTCTTTAACTTCCCATCTTTCATGGTGACATCAGGGGCAGATCTATAGGAAGTTGTTTTGCAGTAATGCCAAGACAGCAGGAATTATTTGTGCGAGTCAGATTTAGTCCCTCGGGGGAGGGGGAGAAAAACAAAGCCTGAGGAACGCTGAGGTTGTGAACACAACCCCACCCCACCTTTCCCAAAAATAGATGAGCAAACTGGCAGGGTATGTCAGAGCATTTTGCTCAAGTTGATCCAAATTCTTGAGGGGGTGGAAACCGCAGAGCTGAACACCACTTCCCAGGCAAGCAAGGCTAAGCAGGAAGCCTCACACAGAAGCAGCTTGTGAAAGATGCGCTCCTGCTTCCAGCTGGGCCAAAAATAATCCCTGCCTGCTGCCATGGATGAGCCAACTTCCACCCTCTCCCATGGGGAAAAACTTACAAAAAGTTATTTATGCTGTGTTAAACCACATTGAAGACTCACACAGGGCACTGCACGAAGGTGCAGGGTGTTTTTTTTAGTGCAAATTGGTTTGCTCACACCCTGGAAACATTTTGGAAAAAACAGATGCCTCAGAGCAAAAATCAGTGACTGGAAACAAGGTGTGACCTTTACCTTCCTCACTGCTCTCCTTGGGACCAGTTTCTTCCAAACCCAAACCAAAGAGGTCTGAATCATTTTTCAGTTTGAAGGAGTGGACTGTTGATTTCACAGGTTGGGGTGGCTTTGCCAACGAGGTATCATCATCATCATCAGATATTTCAGAGAGATCTTCCCGGACTGGGAATTCATCCTAGAGAAAGAAAAGGCAGACAACACCAACAAATCTTTCAACTGAAATCTCTGAACGTTTTGTACACAAAGACAGCAGATGTCAGCAGGTGGGGAGGAGGGAAGGAAATGGAAGCTCTGCTGAGCTGTTACTGTCTGGAAATCAATGCCCTTCATCTTCCAAGCTCTATGTCTTGCCTCAGTAAAATGTCTCAGTAGCACTGGTACCAGCAAGTGTGCTCTGATAACACTTGTGGTATGAAAATCAGACTCCTGATGTAAAGGGATTAAATGAGACCTTCAACTGTGTTAGCTCAAGAGCATCAGCTCCTCCTTGCCCTGGAGAGGCACTTCTGTTTGGATGTTCCAGTCTAGCATGCTGAAGACACCTCCAGACCTGGCAGACAAACCACTTCTGCTGCACAGCGCCCTGGGGGGTGTCATGTACCAGAGGGAAGATGCAGCACGGCCACAGGACTGGTCTGTGTTTGCAGAGCAGCTCCTTCCATCAAGGCAAACAGAATGTTCTCCCAGGGCAAATCTGTCCCTTCAATGTGGGCTAAAAACCAGGATGCTGCAGAGACTGGATATCACCCAAAAATCCTCTGTCCCTGCACAATGGCAAGGGAAGGGGAGTTTTAATGATCTTCTGATACCTGCCAACTGATCCTCTGCATCATTCATTAAGCAGCCTTTCTTCACACCCTCCACACTGCCCAAACATGGGCTCGCTCTGCTGCTGACCCAGGCAATGCCCTCTCCTTGCTCACAGCAGTGGTTTTACCCTTTGCCTGACCAGCAAACCTTGTCGTTGAAAAGCATTCACAAGCTGTGGGGCATCTCCCTGACACGTCTGCAATGCCAGCTCCCTCCCAAATCCTCTTTCTCATCATCTAAGGGAAGTAAACTTGATCCAAATACTTTTGCTTTCACATTAAAGCGCCAAGAAAACCAGGTACTGAAAATGCTAAACAAATGGAAAATTACTTAATAAACATTCATGACACATGGGCAAGGTGAAAGAAACTGGGACAACCGTCCTCTCTGCAGGATTCTGGAACAATGCAAACACATAAAATGCTCCTGAACACCACCTGATCCAGGCACCAGGAGTTCCCCTGAACAGCAACCACCCATCCCAAGCGATGGTTTGCAGTTTCTAGAGACAGCTCTGCTGGCTGCCAGTATAGAGGATGGAAATCAGGGACACCTAGAGCCACAGCAGCAAGTTCCTACCAGCCCAGGGAAGATGTTTGTGTGAGAAGATATTTGTGTGAGCAGACACTTGTATTTTCTCCATCTCTAGCAGCCACTGGGGCAGCGAGGACTCCTGCTGCACCCCATGTTTGAGCAGACATCCACAGGCAGCACCCACGTGCTGAGTGTTCACAGAGACATTACAGCTCACCTGGTTATGCTGGAAAGTCCTCAAGCAGATCTTCCTGCTTCAGTAAGAAGCTTTGTCAAGCAAATTCTGTTAGGGCCTTTTGAACGCTGGATTGACTGTGGGGAGCTCACTCTCTGGCATGCACACACTTTTCTACATGTTAAACTTTGGGTGAAAAAGTAATACTTTTGTATTTTATACCTTCCACGCTGCTGGCCTGACCACACTTTGGACTTACTGAGAATAAACAGCACATTAAAACCCAGCAGCTCAAACCTTCTTGCTGTGTGGCTTCAGCAATCAGAGCGTTAGTGGGTTTGTGCTTGTATCAATCTCTCCAGGTTGCTTAGCACCTAACTTGCTGTGACTGCTGCTGAGAGAGGGGAGAGCAGATGAAAGCTCTGCTCAGTGAGATGCCTCAACACTTCAAGCTCAGCTTTGCAGCAGCACATAACAACCTATGCACATTATTTACCATTTTCTTCTTCTGGCTGTCAGAGTCCTCGCTTTCGAAGTCTGGGTCATCCATAACAAAGGAGAGCATCTGAGTAGCTATTGGTCCCTCTTGGTCGCTGTCAGACTCCTCAGGCTTCTCCTCTTTGACCACCTTCTGCTTGAGAGCATGTCCTCTGCTTTGAGAAGTGGTCTTTGGGGCCTGAACTGCCGCCGGGGTGGCAGCAGCAGCAGCTGGCAGGCTTGTGTTGACCTTGCTGCTGCTGTTTCTCTCGGACCCAGGACGTGGAGGTAAACTGTCAAGAGGCTTCGGGTCAGTTGCTTTGGTCAAGATTGCTTCACTCTGTGGTTTCAGAGCATTTCTGGAAGACCTGAGAAGAAACAAGTTGTCAGAGCCTGTCCACCCCCATTCTGTGAAGCAAAGCATAATGACCCTGGAGGCTGGGCCTGCCTCCGGGGCTGCAGTGTGCATCTCAGCAGGAGAGGCAGTTCATCCAGAGGGGTCTGTGCTCAAACACATGCCACTGAAGAGGGCTGAAGACAACCCTCACGTCCCTGGGGATGCTGATGAGTGACCACGCCTGGCTATCACCCACAGGATGTGGTATGAGGAGAACATGATCCAGCTCATCATTCTCCAGCACAGGCTGTGCTGAATGACTTCCACTCTGCACCACAAGACTCGACTCCTCTGCCCTCCTCACATCCCTGTGAGCAGACACTCAGGTGCTCAGCTGCAGTCTCCTGTTCAAACCTGAGCAAAAGGCTGGGTCATTTCCAGGCTGAAATGTCCCAGTGGCCACAGTGCTCGGAGGCACACTGCCCAGGCGTGCTGAGAGAACACCAGGGAAAGCAGCTACACCAGGCAAATACAGTGACAGCTGAAAGAACAGGCTGACAGAGACACCAGCACTTCCAGAGGCTGCACAGAGGTCAGTGCAGCACCAAGAGGCCCAAGTTTGCCAGCACAGCCCCACACTTCAGGCTGTGCCTTGTACCTTTTTTTTTCCTGCTCCGTGTCAATGTCTTCATCAGGTATGAGAACAACCTTAGAGTCCTTCACCTCTTCCTCTTCCTCACTGGAGAGGGTGACGTTCTTGCTGGGCACCCGTTCTGCTGCCAGCATGGGTCTGCTGGGGAGTTTGTCATCCAGATCCAGGTCATCTTGGAACCCTGCCACCATGGGGTTCCCCCCAGGTGCCTCTCCATCGCTGCAATAGAGACAATGGTGAGACACAGCCCCCCCAGGATGTGCTAGGAGGGACAGGCCTCCCCTCAAAAGCAGCCTGCCACTTGCCTGCCTTCCCTGGGCAACTTCAGGGTCAAAATCCCTCAGCCTGGGGCACCCAGCCTTAGCCTTCCTCCTGCACCATGCCCAGCTCAGGCTGGACCTGGCGTGGTGGCACAAACCCTGCACAAAATGAGCCACAGGAGGATGTGTCACAGTGGCTACTGCTGCTGGAGCTGAAATGAGTGGCTGGAGAAGGTGAGCCTAGTGCTACAGAGCAGCCTGTTGCTTCAGCTCTGCCAGAAAGTCTCCGGTCCAACATGCATGGATCAGTCAATTAAACAGTGGGAACTGCCTGCCTTAATCCCCACATCCTGTAATTAAACCTGAGCACACAGTGACACTGCTATGGGAATTCACTTGCAGCTATTAGCTTCCTGGAATGATTTCTATTTCTGTGGTGCTCCCTGAAGCAGGCAGCTACCCAGACACCATAACCATGCTTCAACGTTCCCCAAACTCAATTAACCTCAGGACACACTTTTAGAGCTGGGAATGTGTCAGACTGCCAGGATGTAACCCAGTTCTGTGTTGAGAGGCATCCTGACAGGGAGCTTCACAGCTGAGACACCAGCTGAGGATTCTTCTCTGAATGTGCCCAGGACTCAGTCTGAATGTGCCACAGTCACTGTCCTACCGACGGCTCGGTACGGCTGGTACAAACACAGCCTTCACTTTGACACAGACACCAAACCCAATTATTATACCTGGAAACAGATTTTAGAGGCATAAAAGGAAACACAACCCCCTAAAACCCTCCCTCTGGAAGAAGGTGGTGTTCCTAGTCACAGCACTGGTGTGGTGGCGGGATGGGAAATGCCGAGACCCCAACACAGGCCTGACGACTGGCACCACTCCCTCTGGCTCTTCTTATGGCTAGTTCCTGGTGTACAACAGTTTTAAAGAATTAATTCATCAACACATCTGCCAACAGACAGTGGAGTTCCTCAGGTCACACGGGGCACCACGGTTACAAGTGGAGCAGCACGTGGCGGGTGCTCCCAACCAGCTGGGCTGGGGTGCAGTGCTGAGATCAGCTGCTCCCTTCTGCTTCTGCTGCAGACCCCTCTGCTTGCAGGGCTCCCAGCACAGCTCCCAGCCAAGCAGAGACACGCTGCTGAAGAGCCCCTTCATCAATAACACTGCTGCTCTCACACCAAGCCAGAGAGGAGGCACGCAGCCCGGCCCGCACAAAGGAGAAGAAAACTGGTGCCCAAAACAGCTTCCAAGGCTGGAGAAATTACCAGCGAGTGATTTCAGAGAAGCACTGGCAGTGTTGCTTCTTGAAATGCACTGAAAAGAAAATGGAGCTGCGTCCTAAAAACGACAGGATATTATTCTGAACCAGTGACACCACGTTTTTAACTCATCACCGCTCCATTAAGCACGAGGACTATTCAGAGTCTGCTGCCACTGCCCTCCTACCACACACCGTGTGAGCCTTGCAGCCCTTCGAGCATTCCCAGCCTGAACAGCCCATCCACACGGGCACAAAGTGGGTCACCTCCCTCTGCAGTGGATACACCTCCTCCATCCCTGACCTCCACGCTGCAGTGAGCCACAGCCCAGGAGCAGAGCACTGGGGTGGATGGACGCTGGGGAATCACCCCTGGGCACAGACACAGGCTGACAGGGCAAGATCAGCACCACTTGGTGGCCCGAGGCTCCAGCTGGAAGGAATTCAGGATGTTCACAACCAACGTGCAGCGTGCTGCTGCTCTCCCCCATGGCTGATGTGCTGCCCAGCCTGCCTTGGTGCTGAGCCAGTGTGCTCCCAGGCACAGGTACCCCCAAAAGGGCCCAGCTCTGAGCCACGGCTCAGAGAGCACATGGAGGTTTCCCCAGAGAACCCTTCATGATGGCACAGAATGGCAGAAATAAACTGCTGCAACCCGAGCACATGGTCCTGAACCCAGACTGACTGTGTGCCAGCAGCCCTGCCCCATGGCCAGCAGAGTCCTCCTGTCACACCAGTTCTAGGGGCTAGAGGAAGAGGAAAAACCCAAACTCTGCTGAGGCAGGTAAGCTGAGGAATCACACGCCTCAGGAAGAGCCTGCATGGCTATATTCTAGGAGATGGAGGATTTCTACTGTCAACCAAACAGTGTCCTTGGCTTCTCTGACTTGCTCTGGGGCAGCTGGGTACTGCTACATAAACAACAGATTCCAGAAAAGCAAAGAACCAGTTCAAAGCTCTTCAGATGTGGTTTAACAAGGCCAAGTGCCCAGGTGGCCCAAAAGGATGACAGCATCCTGGCTTGTATCAGAAACGGTGTGTGCAGCAGGAGCAGGGGAGGGATCGTGCCCCTGGACTCAGCACTGGGGAGGCCTCAGAATCCTGGGTTCAGGTTTGGGCACCACAGTATAACAAAGACCTTGAGGGGCTGGAGCAGGTCCAGAGAAGGGCAATGAAGCTGGGGAGGGGTCTGGGGGACATGGCTTGTGAGGAGCAGCTGAGGGACCTGGAATGGTTTAAACTGGAGAAGGCTGAGGAGAGGCCTTATTCCTATCTACAACTCCTTCAAAGCAGGTTGGAGTGAGGTGGGGGTTGGTCTCTTCTCCCAAGTAACCAGGGATAGGACAAGAGGCAATGGGCTGAAGTTGCCCCAGGGGAGGTTTCGATTGGATGTGAGGAAGAATTTCTCTCCTGGCAGAGTGGTGAGGCCTTGGCCCAGGCTGCCCAGGGAGGTGCTGGAGTCCCCAGCCCTGGAGGGCTTCAAAAAATGTGTAGAAGTGGCACTTGGGGTCATGGTGGTGTTGCATTGATGGTTGGACTTGATGATCTCAGAGGTCCGTTCCAACCTTAATGATTCTATGATTCTGTTCCATGTAAGGACAAGGAAATCTAATCAGCCTTTCAGAAAAAATACCTAGTGATGCTGAGAAGACAGACCAGGAACACTCAGGTACAGCACAAACTCCCTTTCAGACACCTGCAGCCCACCCATAGACCTGAGCCAGCACGACCCATCAGGAGGAAGGAGAGGAACCTCTCTGGAGCCAGGTTAGCTCCTCCAGTGCAGTTACACACATGCTGGCTCAGGGAATCAGGCTAAAGGTCAGCAAATTAAGCTGTGAAACAGCAAACGGGGAGATTGAACTGCCTTCCTAATTAACCAGTAAAGAAACTGATCTGGGGAGTTGTCTTTATTGCAAGCTGGAGAACCATAACATGCCAGTAAACAAAGCCCACGGCTCCACTGATCTCCACAGAGCTGTGCTGGGATTGAGCTACAGCAACACCAGAGACTTCAGTGTGTGCTGGAAGTCTCAGCAGCTGCCTGATCTTTGGGTGAGAGCAGCCCTGCTCCACAGGCCTGAGTGCATTCCTCACCAAGAGCATGCTTCAGAACAGAAATGGGCTTTTCCTAACATTACTGCTCCATGCCAACTGTTGCTCCATTCTTTAGACACTTTAAGGAGTAGGGAATGGCAGAAGTTCACATAACACCACTGCAAAAAACCTGAGAATTCCCTGTGTCAACAAAATGGCCAAGAAATACCAGACTTCACAGCTCCTTTCTGAAGCTCAGGAAAGCAAACAAGCTCTTACCAATGGAAGCAAACACCTCCCTGGGCTCAGGAAGCAGCTGAGTTACACAGCAGAACATCCTGCTTCCAATATGACCTCTGCTCCCTGAGGGCTGCCTGCTATGGGAGAGCAGCAGGAGGGCATGGAGCTCTGTCTGGGCATGGATGAGGAGTCAACTGAGAGCTTACAGGTTAGGATTCAAGAGAGGACACATAATGGTGACACCAGAGCAGGTGCCTGCTACAGGAACAAGTGGGGATCAGGCACTCTGCAAAAACATAGAAGCAGCCTCATGTTTGGAGGCCCTGGTCCTCAGGCACTTCAGCCAACCTCACATCTGCTGAAGGGACAAGACAGAAAGATGAAATAAGCCAGGAGGCTCCTGAAGGGCACTGGTGATAATTTCCTCCTCCAAGTAATAGAGGAGGCAATGGGGAGAGGGGCTCCACAAAAAATGAGGTGCTTGCTGTGAAGGTGAAGGTCAGAGGCAGCCTTGGTGGAGTTAAGGATCTGGAGGGCAAGGAGGAGGGGAAAATGGAATCTGGATTTCATGTGAAGGTGAAGGTCAGAGGCAGCCTTGGTGGAGTTAAGGATCTGGAGGGCAAGGAGGAGGGGAAAATGGAATCTGGACTTAAGAGCAGATTTTGGCCTCTTCAAAGATTTGCCTGGATATTTCCTGTGAGATAAGGCCCTGGAGGGAAGAAGGGCCCAGAAAAGCTGGTTAATATTCAAGGATGATCCTCCTCTAAGCTCAGCAGTGGCCCATCCCAATGCCAGGAGGCCTGCATGGATGAACATGGATGAAACTCAAATACAAGAGAAAAGAGAATTAACTTCATAAATTCTCAGCCCTCCTATCTTCACTGGCTCTTCAGTTTCAGAGCTTACATTTGGTTACAACACACCATTTTTTAAACCAAATAAAATCTCCATTAGGTTTGAGCAGCTTCACAGGAAAACATTTGTCTTCTTTAGGTCGGAGACAAATTTCTGCAGCAGCAGGTTTTGTTGCAACTGCACCAACCTGCTCACTGCAGCAGGAGCTGATGGTTAGGGACAGTGCTTACAGGACTCTTAGGTTGCTCCTGGGCACCACGGGCTTGTAGGTGGCATCCTGAAGGGTCACTGCAGGTGATGGTCAGAACTGCACCTACATCTCTGACAGCACATCTGGCTGTTGTGACAGGCCACCTTTGGCAAGAAACTGAAGGTAAAATTGCCCAACCACTGAGAAAACTGTGTCAGCTACAGAAGAAACCAGAGCAAGCCATGGATGCCAAGCTGCAGAGACATACTGAGCACCTGAACTTGCAGGGATGCACTGCAAGGCCTTCTCCTGGGGAAACAGCTGTTCTAACTGCAGAGGGTTACCACTGCCATGTAAAGCACCAAGCTGTGAACAAATGTCCTCTCTGTGCTCTGGGAAAGCCCAAAGAGCTTCTCCTCCTGCCCCCACCAGCTCACATGCACTGGAGGGCTACCAAGGCTGGTGACAGAGTGCAGAAGGGCATCACAGCAGCCAAGAACATGGCAACTCTACAGCCAAGGACAGGGCTCTTGCACCACGGCTGGAGATACTTGGCTTTTTGATGTTCTGGAGAAGAGGAGGCTTTTTAAAAGATCCAGCCCTCTGCTCACAGCAAGAACTGCACCTTGGAAGGGCTCTCCAGGACCCAGTCCTTCAGCAGACCCCAGGAAGGTCAGGCTTCACTCTCCTGACATTTAGTTGTTCAACACAGAAAGATATCCCAGCTCAGCCACAGCCTCAGGCAAGAAGCTCTGTACACCAGCATGCTTCTAGCAACCACCACTTTTTTTTTCTTTCTTTCCTTCTTTTTTTATTAATAAAACATCCACGTGTCCTCCCATCACAAGGGATGATGACTCAGGCTGACCTGCATTAGACAGGCACCAAGCCTCATATGCAGCATTGATTTCAAGTTGTGGTGGTTGAACTAGAGAACACTGAATCATGACAAAGATGTCAAAAGACACAGAATCCACCACGTTCACAGATGAGCTGTATCAGCGTTCAATCGCTCTCCTGGCTCCTCCAGTGCTGATGACAAGAGGCAGCAGGCAAGGACTACCCTCAGCAGAGGGATGCAGAGCCTGTGAGCATGCTCAGGTCACCCCTTCAGTGACACTGCTTTCAGACAGCTTGCCACAGATCCTCCAGTCTGAGCAGCTCACACAATCCCTTCTCCCTTTTTTGGTTAAAAGACATCAAAGCCAAGAAAAGAAAAAAATAGAAAAGGAAAAAAGAAAAGAAAATCCAGCATATAGCATAAGCACATTTAGAGGATAGAATTATAGAACAGCAGAACAGTTTGAGTTGGAAGGGACCTTTCAAGGTCACCCAGTCCAACCCCCTGCAGGGACAGGGACATCTGCAGCTAGAGCAGGGTGCTCAGAGCCCCAGGAAACCTCCCCTGGGATGGTTCCAGGGATGGGGCAGTGACCACCTCTCTGGGCAGCCTGGGCCAGGGGCTCAGCACCCTCACTGTAAAAAAACTCCTCCTTACATCTAGTCTGAATGTCCCTCTTTCAGTTTAAAACCATCATCACTTGTCCTGTTGCAACAGGCCCTGCTAAAAAGTCTGTCCCCATTTCTTCTGTAGGCCCCCTTGAAGTCCTGTCAGGCCCCCAGAAGGCCCAGGCTGGGGGGGCTCCTGGCCAGCTCCTCCCCCCAGCACCCCCAGGGCCCTCTCCCCAGGGCTCTCTCCAGCCACTCACCCCCAGCATGGGCTGATACCAGGGGCTGCCCTGGCCCAGGTGCAGGACCTCACCCTTGTAGAACCTCATGAGGTTGGCCTGGGCCCACTTCTCAAGCCTGCCCAGGTCCCTTTGGATGGCACCCTCTCCCTCCAGCACAGTGACCACACCACTCAGCTTGGTGTCATCTGCAAATCTGCTGAGGGTGCCTCAGCCCCACTGTCTGTCACTGATGAAGATATTAAGCAGTACTGGTCCCAGTATGGACCCCTGAAGGACACCATTTGTCCTGATCTCCATCTGGACATTGACCTGTTGACCACTACTCTCTGGATGTGACCAAAGAGCCAACTCCTCATCCACCAAACAGTCCATCCATCAAATCCTTATCTCTCCAATTTAGAAAGAAAATGCTAGGAAGGAACATTAGAGCTGGACAACTACAAAGAAAGGCATCCCCTAAGACTTCTGGAATCTGAAAGGCAAGCACACAGTAACATTCCCAACAGAGCACGACCCTCTCCATCCCTCCTTCCAGAATCCCATTGAGCCACAGAGTTCCCCCAAGTGTCCTCCAACAAACACAACCCCCTTGGTAATGCCTTGGGAATGGCAGCACCAGGCGATGGAGGGGTCTGGCCATGCTTTGGGCCTCTGCAGCAGGGGAGTATTCCTCAGGGAAAATATAACATCCCTGCAAAGTGCATTGTGTTCCAGAAGGAAAATAACTCAGATGTTTCAGGATGTTTGGCTGGAAGGGAAACCTCTTCCTGACCCAAAACAACTCAGTGGCTTAGCATGAGCAGGACAGCAAAGCAGGAAGGTGGTAACCAGCCTTTGCTGCTGCTCTCACTCCCAGGGAGTGGTGTGCACCCCTGATGGGAGATGCTGAACCCCACGGCTGAGCACCCCACAGCCAGCGTGGCCCAGGGCAGCTGACTGCTCTGCAGTCACTGAACACCTGCAACAGGTTAGCCCAGCACAACTCACCCCTCAGACTGCACACCCAGGATGTCCCTGGCCTACCACCCCCCCTCCTTCCCTCACCTTTCGCTGTCCACACGGTGTCTGGTCTGTGCCTTCCCTCTGTCCTTCTGGGGGGCTGGGTCTTCCAGAAAGCTGTGGTCCAGGCTGTCCTCAGGGACAAAGTCCTCCACACTCTGGACCTTTGCAGGGGCTGCAGGGTGGGGAGGCAGAGCGGCAGCAGCAGGATCTGCATCAGCAACAGAAGTTGCAAAACACAGAGTTCACCACAAGCAAGACAGAAAACACAATCTGCTTTCTGCAGTCTGTCCTGCCCAGGACCTCACCAGCAAGGCAGAGGCACGAAGAGACCTCAGCTACACAGCAAGGGTAGAGGAAGGGCATGAACAGGATGCTCAAACCCACCCAGAATCTTGTATCAAGGCATTCACAGGGCAGGCATGGCTGCTGTGGTTCAAGATGCACCAGGCTGAGCCAGGCTCTTGAAGAGCTGGAGGAACTCTGTGGTGTGTGCCCAGGACCTCACCAGCAAGGCAGAGGCACGAAGAGACCTCAGCTACACAGCAAGGGTAGAGGAAGGGCATGAACAGGATGCTCAAACCCACCCAGAATCTTGTATCAAGGCATTCACAGGGCAGGCATGGCTGCTGTGGTTCAAGATGCACCAGGCTGAGCCAGGCTCTTGAAGAGCTGGAGGAACTCTGTGGTGTGTGCCGCCTGCCTCTGCTCCACAGGGAATGCTGCAGCTGACTGCACCACAGCCAGACTTCATACCTAGGCTGTGTGATGTCCCTTCGTTATCCTCTTCCCTCTTCCAGGCTGTTCAGCTCACCCACTCACCTCCCCTTGCTTTTTCAGCTGTAAAGCTCAAAGGCAGAATATTTCATGCTGTGCTTTCAGATGCCCTGGGTGCCCAAAGGCTCAAGAGCTACTGCAAATGGAGACTCGCTTTAAATAGCTTATTGTAGAGGCATCTTCACCCATCTTCAAGGCATCAGGATGAAAATTCATTAAATTAGCATAACCAAGAAGGCTAAACCTTTTCAGAATTTGCAAAATTCAGCTGTCTTCTTCTGCCCAGCTTGCACTTCTCATCTAGGCTCTTTCTTTTGGGTGAACAAGAGCTGTACATTTTTCCCTAGATTTTGCTCTGCTAGGTACAGCTTTCAGATCCCTTTTGCATATGAGTAGCAATTTGCTAATGCCATAGAGTAGTGCTGCTGTAAGAGGAAACACAGCCAAAGAATGACTACTGCAAGACTTCAAGGGAAAGCTTGAAGCTGCCATAAAAGCCAAGTATTATTTTGTGACAGTGATTTTGCAACTGCTTTCCAATTAGTGAGTCCCCAGCTACGTTCCAGTAGAGGTGCCACATAAACCTAATAATGCTAATAAAGCAGAACAGCTTTTCCTAGCTGCCTTTTGCAACCCTCCTAAAAACCACCCTAGAGATACCAGCACTGCAGGCCACAAGCCTAAAACAGTTCTCAAGATAAGTGACAGACTTAAAACAAAGAAGAAAAAGGAAAAAAAGCAAGCCCCAAAGACTGTAACACCAGTGGCAGACCACTTGTCTCATTTCTACATACCAATATGACACAAGTTTTTTTATTGACAGAGGATTTCTAACATTGGCTCCTCTCTGTTTTGGGGTAGGAAGAGCCACAAACAATCTGAAATGGATGTGCTGTGTCCTACCTGGTAACAGATTTGGGGTGCAGAACACTGTGTGCAGATCTAAAACTGAAAGATTTCAACATCTGAAACTGCAAACAGTGTTCCCAGCACCTCCTCCTTTCTTTCTGTGGGTGTCTCGAGAGTACTGAGAGCTCTAGGGATTGACAGTTTGAGAGGGAAGGTATTTCCAGAGGGTGATTCAAACCATGTCACCCTGATGAGTTTTAGGCAGTGCCAGCTCTGCAGCTCCAGTTAGCTTTGCAAACAAAGTGGATGTGACAGGCAGATTAATGTCCAGGACGTGCAACAAACCTCTCGATGCTTCTGCCCTGCCAGTTTGTCGGGCAGGGCTCTGCCTGACCCCTGCCTTGCTCTGCTCCATTGTGTACCAGGAGCTGAGGGGGGTGCCCTCCTCCCCACACCACCTCTGAAGGAGCAGATTTCCCTGGAGGGGAACATGCTGCAGAGCCTGGACTTACGTGATCGTTTCTGGCTGAATAACCTTTAAGACCAGCACTCTGCTCTTCTCTGTTAGCACACAGGAACCCCTTTGAGCTGCCAGACTTCTGCGAAGACAGCTTCAAACACCTTCTCTAACCCTTTTTTTCTTGGTATTCAAGAGGCATATGTGCTCCTGTTAAGAAGCTGACAGTTATTTTGTGTCCCCCATGTGTTTGGTACCTTCCTTCTGAAGACTGCCACA